GAATAGATTACTCCTCATTAATTCTATTCAAGATATTAACAATGATAATGCTCCTGATAGTCTTCAAAGTTTATTAGCTGATGAAAAATTCTTCCGACCATTATATTCCTTTATATCTGGTGTCCAAGATATATAAAAATGAGAACAACGTGATATAATTTATCATTAGTGCAAACGTAAAGAAACTGTGAATCAATGTGAAGGTGAATTTTTGATGAATGTAATGTATCATAAAATTAATACATTGTAATTTCAGGCTCAGAAGGGCTAGAACCCAGAGCCGTAAAGCCAGTTTAAAAAAAACAATATGGCTGCGATATAGACAACTATGTCTATGTCGCACAAGATACTAATCTTGCGAGCTTGCGACAGCTTGCATACGTAGATAGAGGATAAATGAGCTTAGAAGCATGGAGTATAGAGTAGTCTAGTCTATACTCCATGCTTATAAGGGATGCCGAGAAGCGGAGGGGGGGTGTTAGCTGTCATATATCATCTTGCTATGGCGTTTCCCATGTCCAGTATTTTCTCTATGAAGATTACTGCCCGTGGAGGTCATTGGGCGGTACTATCGCAGTATATCATAGACATAGTATCTTATAGACTAAACATTCAGTGACGTCATCTGCGTGTGAAAGGAATGCACGTATATAGTTAGACATAAGAGTAAGGGAGAAGCAAAACAATATTTCTTGTCTTTTTCTAAGTATACGTTTTTGATTGTTTTCCCTCCTTTATTTGACATTAACGATGTCAAGCGTTTGTGATTATCATTAATATTATAAGCAAACAGGTAATTGAATTCAGTGTTTTTCGTGGGTTTTAGTTATTAAGTAAGGTGAAAAAGATGTTAAGTTGTAGCATTTTAGGATGCAATAGCATCAGTCAACGAAAAATTGATGATATTACCTTTCATCGGTAAGTTTGTTTTGTGCTTACATTTGCTATTTGTACTGATTAATATCTGTTGTTTTGAATATAAAGTGTAACATTTCATGTTTTTAATGAACTTTGTGATGTATTTTGTCAAATATTTCGACTCCCAAATTGTAAATTCTTCATGATAATGCTCCTTAATTTGAATGATCATTGCAAAGCTTAAAGTCATAACAAACGTGTACTTTTTGACTTGGTAGGATTATGGAAACTTTAGGGATATCATCGAGTACAATAATGTTTTCCCATTGTTCAATAATAAGTATTATTGTGATTAGTAGTTATGTACATAAATATGAATCACATAATGTTATACATATGCATACACTTTTATGTTCAGCTTTAAAGGAAACTCTCCTTATTGGGCAATAATATACAACTCTTCAATCATTTTCTATATTAATAGATGTCACAAATAATATATAATTATCAACCTGAAAACATGTTTAGGTTCAAGTACATAAGTATTGGACAAAGTATATTTAATTTCACAAAATATGTATTGCCTGAAATCACATGCATAAAACTTTATTGTATTCCATTAATTCTATCACACATTAGCAACAATTACATTACAATAGTTATTAAAAAATAACTAGATATGTCATACTTATATAAATATAGATAAAATAATAAATAAATAAGTCTTAATCTTAAGATACACAATAACACAACAACATAAGATAATATTCTCAATTAATGATGTAGAAAAAATTTTATGATAATATATTTACCGTTACTATTAGTCATTATCAAAAGTCAAAAGTTATAGGTTTTATGATTGTTGTCTAGCTTGGCAGGAGGATTGGCAACTGCAGTTATTTTGCAGACAAACTATGTGGGAGGTCTATGTTCAGCTGTGGAGGACATTTGTTAGGCTGTAAATGTACTAATTAACAATATCTAAAGCTTAATATGTACATTTTTTTTAAATGTTTGGTATGAATAATATTATAATTACATTTACATATACCTGCTATTTAATTAAATCAATTGATATTGTATTAATTGTTATAGGTGTTGTATTTATGCACAGATACTCATACTTGAATTTTTTTTTTACCTTGATATAAAAGTGTACTATATATTTAATATATTAATTTCTTTTAAATATATTATTTTACAGCTTTCCTAAAGAAACAGCTATCCGTAATTGCTGGATAATCGCTACTGTTGATGATTATAGATAACCAACAAAACTTAGCAGTGTATGCTCAAAACATTTTGAGCCTCATTGTTTTAGGCGGACTAAATATGCTTAATTTATGTAATTTATAATATAATTAAGATAAAATATTTAAAATGTTATAATTTATTGTTGTCTTGTTGTTTCCCCATAAGTGATATAAGTTTGACCTTGTTGGTAATTATGATTTTTGACATTGTTCTGTATGTATTAAAAATTGAATAGCATTGCTTAATTTATTTATGGATTTTGACTTTTTATTTTCAAATTTCTCTGTTATCATTCTGTATTATTATGACTTGTAATAATTTTATTGTAATTTATATTAATGTTCTTTGTGTAATTTGATTGCATGACAATGACAAAATATTTAATTATAGATAGATTGATTAAACATAAATTCTCATTTACAAATGTAGGAACTTTATCTGTACTACCATGTTTTATGCAAGTAAAGATTTAAATAAAATAATAAATAAATAATTTTAAGTCCTGACTTAAATATACAAATGAATAATTTATTATGCAATAATAATTGTAAAACTGACTGGAAATGCCTACCAATGAGATATTTAGTCCCCCCTTAATCCTTTTTATAAAGGTGTTAAAAACAATAATGTGAAAATAAATTAAGAAATAAATAATTTATTAATAATAATTTACATTTAATTGACATAAATAATGTAATAAAGATGTTTTTGACAAGAGATAGGTATTACCTATCTAAGTATAGTTTAGGAGTTGTACCTTATTATTTTTATACCACTAAAATATATTATATACAAGGCATATAATATATATATATATTGCCTGCTAATCAGATTTTAACAACCAGCACCCAAGAGTTTCTGCCATGCAAAATTATAAATCAAGTTTATAAATGCATATTTTTGAGAAATTCTAAAGCTACTCATACCAAGAATTACAACGAATGATCTAGAAAGAAGACAAAAATTTTGTTGTTTATTAATATCATGAAAAATTAATAAATAATCGTTTATTTATTTTAATTTTATTGGATTATATTTAATAATATAATTGTGTTTTCATTTGTTTTACTTAATGTAACATTGTTAATATTTCAAAATTTTGTGTAAGTACACAAAATTTGTGCACTGCTGAATATAAACATGAACATAGTTATTTGCCATAGTTGCAACGCTTGGCAAGCGGGTTGGCAACCACTGCTTTTTTTATATTTAGCTGTTCATCAGGAAAATGCTGCCGTTAATCTTCTTAGTTTTATTCTTGTGTTTATTTTAAGTTTTCATCAGGAAAGTGCTGCTGCCCCATCCTCATCTTGTATTATTGCTTACGACGCGGGGTAGTATCATCCCGCGTATAGACAAATTCTCTTGTATGCCACAACTTGCTGCACACAAGCCACTAATCTCAGTAAGACATGCAGGAAATCGCGGAAGTTGGCTCAGAACCGTGTTTTGTACTACAAAACTTATGTGGAAACCTTTTCCTTTCGGAGCTCTGTGTTCAGCACTGAACTTGTGATGGACTCGTATGTTAAAACATTATTGAATTTTAACAACATAAAATTCGACACGAGGAAAGTTTTAATAATTAATTACCTAATATTTAAGTACATATTTTACATACTCCTACTTATTAGCGATATCACACTTTGTGCTAGTAGCGTTTTCACTTACTGCCGTCGAAATCCAAAGAGTTTATTAAATGTCGAGTAAAGTCGTCGATGCGCCGTTGAATTCGGAATGATGATTCTGTTTTTACGTCGTTTCCGTCCGTAGTTTTTAGTCACAGAATGTATTTTCAAGATAAATGAATTAATCATCTGAATTATAAAAGAACATTTTTTTATGTTAACAAATAAGTTTTTTGTATGAATTAAGTGCTGTGAATATAAATAAACCCAGATTGGGGGAAATGGAATAATATCTGGTAACCCAGGGAAAGTACCTCCCGCCTATTTCTATCTCAAAAGCATACGCGAATGCTTTATCTAGTCAATCCTCTATCTACGCAGTATATAGAATTATTACGATTCGCGAATGAAGGCAGGCAAAGGTCTTAGGCTATACAGCCTAATCTTAAGTGTATATTTTAAAATTATAACTATAATATGAGTTTTATCTAAACATACGTTGTCCGTGTTCATAAAATTCTTTTTAAACTGCAATATTTTTGGGAGACGGACACTTGATGATAGTAACTCAATGCGCCTAATTGAAATTTAAGATTTATAACATCATCTAAGTATATAATACCGTATATCGTTACGACTTAATAGCACACGCGCAGACGTTTAATATACAAAAATTGAACCACTTTTACGTAGCAAAATCCACTTTATACCTTTATCTGGAATATACAATACAGGCTTAATACAAAACAAGAGCAGCAGCAATCTACTGTCCAAAGAATAACTCAACTCTCCTACCAAAGTTACCATCAAAACTCTTGCGTTTGTGAACACGCATTTAGATTTAAACCTTTAATGGAAGGAACCAAAATCTAAACAACTATCAAGTTATAATAATCATTTTTTTATTAAATTTTAGTTTAATAAGATGCAAACAATAATACTTTACAAAACATTATTAAATCAAACTAAAATGAAATTCACATAATCCTCATTAATCATAATATCATACTTGACGACTTTACTTGACTGAAACTGCAACAACGAAACGTTTCAGCAAGTTCTAAAATCTACTACCATTTAGCTTGGCAGCACTCTCCACGCCCGCCATTTTGATCGACACTGATTGGTTTAACAACAGTTGTTTATTTTTACGACATTTCCGCCCGCGTGCAATTGGCCAACCTGCATATCGCTGCTAGTAGCGCGCCGCGGCCCGCCATCTTTGTGTCTGTCTTGTCGATTTGGCTTGGCGCCTTTCCTGTGTAGGTTGCTCACTGTAGTGGTATTAGTGTGTTACACGTTTCAAAATGGTGAGTTTTACAAGATTTTGTGAAATATAACCGGAGTGATTGTGATTTTATTGTGTTTTTCGATGGATTATCGTGTGATAAGTTACCTGGCAAAGTTTCAGCTTCGTACGATTAAAATTAATAGGTTTTTTCACGGTTTTTAGGCTGGTGGTAAAGCGGGTAAAGATTCAGGCAAAGCCAAGGCGAAAGCAGTATCTAGATCAGCTAGGGCGGGATTGCAGGTATGATAACAAATTGTCTTAAATTAGTTTACGAATTTTCACATACGAAAAATCTTTGAAATCTTTCTGTAATAATATTTTATGAAATTGAATAATACGCATGACCTTTAGTATGGCGGCGGCCAACTTTAAGAAGGGAAATAATCAATAAATGTGTAAAATATGAGTTCATCTTTCAGTTCCCTGTCGGAAGAATACATAGACATCTTAAAAATAGGACAACAAGTCACGGCCGTGTTGGTGCTACAGCGGCGGTATATTCTGCAGCTATTCTGGAATATCTTACTGCCGAGGTAAGGAAGCGACGCCTTGTCAATATGGCGGCGGTTTAAGGCAATTATAATACCAAATTACTAGTGTTTTCTAGAACCTCGCGCATGTATTTGCGCTGATTTTGAACCTATTTAAAATTTTTCGTACAAATTTGCTTTATATCATTTTATACGTTTGTTACGAACATTATTTTTATCTACAATGATTTGGGCGGGAAAATAAATAATTCATCCAAGTTAATGTACATATAAAATTTCACTATTTTTAAATGCATTATTATTATTAAAAACTGTGTTTCCAAATACTAATAACCTTCACAAAATTTTATAAATATGATTTGACCACTAAATTTTATTTGAGATTTTGTACCTAAAATTTGGCGGGAAATATTTTTGCTCTAAAAAATATGACTAATTAGGTACTTAAAATAATTTATTTGTGTAAATAAGAATTCTAGCATTTATTTATACACTTCGAAAATTCTTATTTATGTCAATTTACGACTTTTACTGTTTATATGTAGGTCGCTTGACGCTATTCAACGACTTCGACATAAACTTTCCTTCTTTGTTTACATCCACGAATCCTCAACTTCGCCTTCGTACAAGAAGTGTAAAATTTACTTTGAACTCAAACTACATTTAAAAACAAAATCATTAAACAGTCTTGAAATCTTGAAATATATAAACTAATAATATGGCTTTTTTGGATTTATAGTTGCTTAAAAAATTTTATCAATCAAGATCAATATTATTATATTAAAATCATGAAAATACCTTGTCTCCTTAAAAAAGAAGCAAAATGTGCTAGGTAAAACTTCAAATCCGATATTGTTTTAGGTTTTGGAGTTAGCGGGGAATGCATCAAAGGATCTTAAGGTGAAACGTATCACTCCTCGGCACTTGCAGTTAGCCATCAGAGGAGATGAGGAGCTGGACAGCTTAATCAAAGCTACCATTGCTGGAGGTGGTGTCATCCCACACATACACAAATCACTCATTGGGAAAAAAGGTGGTCCTGGAGCACCTGTTTAACTGAAGTAAGATTTGTTTCAATATGTAATATGTATGTTTTAATGATGTTTTTATTTATTTTGTAAATACCATGCTTTAATTTAGAACTTACATAAATTTAAATCAATGTAGAATTTGCAACATAAAGTTGAAGTAGAAAGTGTGAATTACAAATTATTTACTTTTTTATCCTTAAATCTAAAGAAAATATTTTACTTGTGTTATATTTCATTGGGTCTTTATAACATCTGAGATTACTGTAATTTTAACTTGAAGCTTAAATTAGTTGATTAAAGTGCTCAAGTCTTTTTAAGTCTGTTCTGAACTGAGAAATATACTTCACTTAATATTTTCTTTTTTTTCTTCTAGGTAACATCAACAAGATCAACGTTGCATTTGAGCCAGGATAAGTTTCAGCATTGTATAATTCATCACCCAATCAGTAAACATAGTTTTCTATATCGGTAGTGATGTGGACAAGTGGGAGTGACATCATAAAACTGTCTGCCAGGACTAAATATAGCTAATAAGTAATAGGGAATACTTTTAGTAATAAGGAGATTTAAAAATATGATTGATTGTATTAGGATTAAGTTTAATTTTCAGTTCATTGAATGGGATATCTTTATTTTGCTGAAACATTGTGTTCAAACTTACAAAGAAATATTGATGTATTGCTGCCAGCTTCTTTATAGCCCCTTGTAGTTGGACTGTATTTTAATCCTCGGCTTGGAAGCTGGAGCAATATAATTTCTGATTTCATATAAATAATTGACTGCGCAATTGTAATTTGTTTGTAAGCTATAAGCTGTTTTAATATATTATTTGCAGCATTTTGTATTTTTTTAAGTGACAAGTTGCCTAAAGCAATAGTATTTGCTTTATTATATTGTTCAAAATTGTAATTTGGTATGATTGAACTGTTAAAAGTTGTAAGAAATGTATTTTGATCTTAAAAATATATTGAAAAAGCACTGATGTTTGTTTATTCTTAGAATTTGTTTCATTTTTATCTCAACTTTCGTTAATATTACCTTCATATCTGTAATCTTGTGTCAAGATCTTGACTTACGATTAGGTAGTTAGTTCAATTTATATATAACAAAAAAAAAACAATATTAATTCCAGGTGCTAGAAAATATTGAAATTGCAAATAATTTTAAATGTAGATTCCAAATTTAAACCATATGAACAAAAAGTGTAAAGTTTTATTGTGGTATTTTATTATTTCCATATTTAGTATCCATTTTTTTATTGACACAAATTTTAACAAAAGGTGTCTAAAAATATACCTATTTATAATGATCAGAGTTTTTGATTTTATTTTTTACTAAACAGTAGTTAATATGTCAATCTTTTATACCTGCTTACTAACAAGACTTGCTTACTAACAAATCTTGTGCTATTTATGGCGCGTCCCCTCCAAAGTTTTCAACATTTGTCAACACGTGTTGCCGACAAATGTTTCTGTAATCACTTAGTTTTAGCAACAAAATAATACAATGTCTGGAATCGTGTTTCCATTTTCGGCGGCAACATCAAAGGAATACGCTTGTTGCAGACATTTGTTCCCTCGGTGGAGACTTCTTGCAACATTTTGAAACAAATGTCGTCAACTTTAGTTGATTTGTCAACAGTCGGAAACATAAACGTTGTCAACATTTTTGGTGGAGACGCGCCTTTATGTAGCACTAGTTTGTTATTGTGTACATTCGAATGTATGAGCATTATTTAAAATGATTCTACTGGCAATTCAAACTAGTTGTGACAATTAAGCGAAAGGTACTGCTAATATATAAATAAAACTCAAGATTAAATTCAGATCTCTATATTTAAACACTTTAATGGGTTGATTTGCAGACACAATAGCAAAGACCTGTCCTGTCCCTGTCCTGTGACCAACAGGACAGGGAAAGGATAAAGCTCCAAACAACGGCCATGTACATCATGTGCTTCTATTCTTTTGTGTTTTGATATAATAAAGTCTTATCATGCTGCCTATATATTCCTTGTTTTTGGTTTAAGTTTTAAATGTAGTCACAACACTTGATTACATGAAGTAGTGGATTATCTCAATTAGTACTCAAAGGGGACTACATCAAAGGCATATTAATGTAGTCCCCTTTGAAACCACAGTAGAGCCACACTGCAGTACAAATGGTTTGCTCTACTGGGAGAAGACCATGCTCACACTTAGCAGCATAATGCTGCTGCTGCTGTTTAGTATGAAAAATGACGAAAACTGAAGACTTAACTGAAAATGAGGCATTCCCTCTTAGTCTTCAGGGGTGACTATGTATCTACATTATGATCGAGGATGAATATTGAATATGTAGGTGTCTTATAGACAACGCCGTGGTAGCTCAGACGTTTAGCGCTCGCTGTAAATTTCACAGTGGGCGAGCAACCTGGGTTTTCGATGTAACAGTGGTAGAGCCACGCGGCAGCTTTTGCTGTCGCACGGATGGGCCGGCTCGAACCGGGGTAGTACCACGACCTCACAGAAAATCAGCGTGAAGTAGAGGTTTAGCTCTGCGTTTCGCTTGGTGAGTGCAGGTGGCCGGAGGCCCTTTTTACTGGAAAGGAGGCATTCCATCTTAGTCCTCACGGGTGACAACGCATATACATTTTGATTTGTAACAGAGGATAGATGTAGATGTATATGGGCCGCAGCAACCACTTACCATCAGGTGGACTGTGTGCTCGTTTGTCACCCTTGTCCTATAAAAAAAAACCTGCGTGTTTGAGAAATGAGTTCGGATATACACTGCAGTTTTTATTTTAAAAATACGAGTAAATAAGGTTTCTGCATTTATTTGAAAATATCCGAAATTTAATGTGATTTATGGGGTATGGGCAACAACACCGCGCGCTCGTGTGTGTAAGATTCCCTATATATAATGTACTCTGTGGTGTAAGAGTCAATGCACGAAGCTTTTGCCTAATATTTACTTCCTAATGACACGCTCAATACTATGATTCCAATTTTCTCTTCATACTTTAAACGGGCTTAGGTACGTCATAATAAATAAACTTATTTTTTTTACATTTTAATGCGTGTGGGATGGATGCACAAAGTAAGTACTTTTTAAATACTGAAAGATGGATGCAAATAAAAATTCTACACTCCACGAATTATATATATTTTTTTCCCACACAAAAGACAGTTTGAAATACAAGTTTAGACTACAGAGCGAGGGAATGAGAAAGAAAAGATAGCTGAGCCAGGAAGTCAATGATAGGTTGGCGCGATTTAAATAACGCTTACTCAAGCGGCGTGAGCGCAACGTCTAGAATAGAGAGCGTATAAAATTCCTGTATAGGACAGTTACTATACTCTTTGGTTTAAAACCGGACTGGCTGGGTGGCTGGTTAATACTTAAGCCTCCTTTACACTACTCGCGAAGTAACTTGATGAAGTGTTCGTCGAAAGTCGATCGCAGTCCGAATAACGTTACTACACACTCGTGCTACTTCGCGAAGAGTTCAGTCGTCTTGAGTCGCCCCGTCGCTCGCACCAACGTCATAGATTACTGTATAAATAACGTTCAAGAATGCAAGCACTTCTTATTAGTTTGTGGTTCAAGAGGCAGCTGCTATAGGTGCCTAATAAGAAGGGCTAATAATTTTCTGCTCACCAGATGGCGCTAGTTGACAATGAAGTAAAGTTTTTTGTTACACAATGTAACTTAATTGAGAAGTTCGTTTTTAATAAATGTTTATCAGTTTCTAGTGTGTTATAATATTAATACGCTAAACAATGCCTCAGTGGCTTGCTTATTAATTTTATGCACATTTATAAATTTTTCTACTTTTATAAATATCTGTGGTTTGGTTTATTTATTTTTAATCTTATTAATATAAAATATAGCTACAGAAATAAACAATAACCTTTACATTTTCCGAACAAATTAACTTTCCCACTATGAAATCTGTCAAATATTATACCTCACTTTCTAGTAGCGCCGCCCTGGTAGAAAAAGCGTGGATGCCCTCATTGTGTGAACAGTACGACATCAATGCGTTAACCATAGATAAATAACTATGTAGAAATTTAACATTTATATAGGTATAAAAAAATTAATATACAACTGGCATACGCCGAGTAGTGTAGCGAGACGCTTCGTGTAACTTCGGGGCACTTCGCGAAGTCCTTTGACTCGGGCGCGAAAAACCGACAGCGATCGGAAGTCGCCCGAGGCGAAGCGAATCGAAGTATAGCTCACACCACAAGTCATGAAAGCATGAAACTGCGCAGAAGCAGAAGCGAAAAACAGGTGTCAGTACGGTGCGGTATGAGGTACGGGGAAGCGAAACCATAGCTACCCCTGTGTAGCAAAGAGAATATAATCACTACGTTTACTGTGCAGTGTGGTGCAGTGTCTCCCTGAATCCCGTCGCCCGCACATGTTCTTATGTCGTCTAAATCGATATCGAAAGTCTTAGCGATTACGTGCTATAAAAATTTTGAATTTTTTGCGACTATTTTTGGACTTTTAAAGATATTGTTGTATAATATTTGTAAATAGTGTGTAAATATTTATTATTTTGTATTTATTATTTTTGGAGTATTCAAAATATTGTTGTATAATATCTGTAAATAGTGTGTAAATATTTATTATTTAGTATTTATAAATACAAAGTTCATAGTATATTGTATAGAGTTGTAAATATTTTGTTATTTTCTACAAGAATGGCCCCTATGAAACGTACACTGCGAAGACAAGCACGGGAAATGGTGTTTGACGTGTATTGTTTTATGAAGGACTAAAATTGGACTGAAAAAATCTGAATTAATAAAACGGGTAGTTAGAGCTACCAAAACTTCTGTGTCTACTGTTTGGAGAATCGTAAAGGAAGCAAGTCAGTCTGATTTGTTAGCCGTATTTAGAATACCTGGGAAAAAAAGAAGCCGGACTTTTCTCGTAACAGGTACAGATGGTTTTGACCAAGGAGTAATTAAAAGAACAATTCATAATTTTCATATCACCAATAAATAAATTCCTACTGTCAAAAAGCTTCTAGAGAAATTGAAAACTGATTTAAACTTCAGCGGTTCTGAGACGAGTCTCCGACGCATAATGAAGAATTTACGTTTTAGATAGAGAACAACAGAAAACAACGAATTAACGATTTTTCGATTAACGTATTAATCGAAAAATGTACAATAAGATTATTGCGAATGAATTACTTGCAGAAAATAAAAAAGTACAGAGAAGAAAATAGACCTATAGTTTATACGGATAAATCGTACGTCCATTCCTCGCATGGTACTACAAAATCATGGTTTGATGGATCAATCGCAGGTTCAAAAAAGGCTATCACAAAAGGTCAGCGCGTAGTGATTGTGCATGCTGGATCTGAGTCTGGATTTATACCAAACGCATTGTTATTGTTTAAGTCGGGTACAAAGAGCGGCGATTACCACGACGATATGAATTATGTAAATTATGAAAAATGGTTAAAAACTCAATTGGTACTAAATCTTCCACCGAGATCAGTCGTGATAGTCGATAATGCTTCATATCACAACAAAGAATATGAATCTGCCTCTAACTGGAATGCCAAAAAAGCAGAAATGCGTGCTTGGCTGAGAAATAACGGGATATCATTTAGCCCTGAACTCTAAAAACCTCAACTATAAAACATAATTAAACAGAATAAAGAAAGATTTAGAAAATTCAGTATAGATAAAATATTAGGACAACATGGTCACTATGTCCTCCGTTTGTCACCATATCACCACGACCTGAATGTCATAGAAATGGCGTGGCCTGCAATAAAAGGCTATGATAGTAGCAAGAACGTTGAATGGAATATTAAACGTGTCAAAGAACTTGTAAAAGAAAAATTTGATGCAATGGGTGTCGACGAGTGGCAAAATCTCTGCGGAAAAGTTAAACAAATAGAAGATGATTATCGCAAAAGTGATCATGTAGTAGACCAAATAACAGAAGAATTATTTTTTCGAGTGGGGCAAGATTCGGACAGTGATGCAAGTGATTCTACTGACACTGAGCAGGATGATGAGTCAGTCCCGGGACCAAGTTATGAAGAGCCGATCCTGGGATCATCTGATCCTGCCGGTCCTGGGGTATATCGAGTGATGAACTTGGTACTGGGGCCAAGTACGTTACGTTCGATATACCTGGAATAATGCCTTTAAGTGACAGCGATTAAATATTGTAATTGTTCATAACCAAAATAAAACTTTTAATTTATTATTGCATGTAAGATATCCCATAGACTTAGGATATACTGGCGTATAGACGACCTGACAGCCCGAAAACGCGTGACCAAT